GTTAAATTACAAATATTGTAATTTATCAATTTTTATTTTATATATTTATTACATTTTCTGGTGAAATTCGTTTCCGTTTTTAAAAAGCTCCCACTGTGTCTCTGATTTCAGAACATCATTTTGTAAATCTGCTACCATATAAATAACATAAAAAGTACTTTATTAATGTTTATTTCGTGTTAAAATCACATTTTCCGGTGAAAGTCGTTCCCGTTTCCGTTCACTAGTTAACCAAGATGTCCCAAAGTCCCGTTTCCGTTCACTAATGAACCAAGATGACCCAAAGTCCCGTTCACTAATGAACCAAGATGACCCAAAGTCCCGTTCACTAATGAACCAAGATGACCCAAAGTCCCGTTCACTAATGAACCAAGATGACCCAAAGTCCCGTTCACTAATGAACCAAGATGACCCAAAGTCCCGTTCACTAATGAACCAAGATGACCCAAAGTCCCGTTCACTAATGAACCAAGATGACCCAAAGTCCCGTTCCCGTTCACTAATGAACCAAGATGACCCAAAGTCCCGTTCCCGTTCACTAATGAACCAAGATGACCCAATCCCGTTCACTAATGAACCAAGATGACCCAAAGTCCCGTTCCCGTTCACTAATGAACCAAAATGACCCAAAGTGTTTCTGATGTTCAGAAATGATTTAGTTACTGAGCTTTAAATAAGAGATAAAGACAGAAAGGCTTCACTCGAGGCCTTTCTGTGGGTCTGTAATAATTACAATTTTCTGTTTAAATCACATTTTAAAGTGAAATTCGTTTCAGTTTTCGTTAATATTCGTTCGGGACATTTCCCCCGGAGGCAGCAGACCTTTCTCCCTGCTTTCTCCCCCCTTTCTTCCCCCTTTCTCCCCCCTCTCTCTCCCCTCACTCCCCTCTCTCTCCCTGAATGTAAACCCGTGTTTTCCGCGCGTCGTGTGAACCCGATCCGCTGAACTCTTCTTCTCTTGTCATTTATGGGCTTTCCTCCTTTCTTCTTCTGTGTTTCTAAACGCGGATCATCTCCCACTTTACTCTCCATCTAAGTCTCTTTGCTCCTTTACGTCGGAGCGGTTTCACGGTCATTCTGAAGCGTGAAACCGCTCCGACGGCCCTCCTTTCTCTCTCCTTTCTCCCTCCTTTCTCTCTCCTTTCTCTCTCCTTTCTCCCTCCTTTCTCTCTCCTTTCTCTCTCCTTTCTCCCTCCTTTCTCTCTCCTTTCTCTCTCCTTTCTCTCTCCTTTCTCTCTCCTTTCTCTCTCCTTTCTCTCTCCTTTCTCTCTCCTTTAAACCCTCACGGCTCCTTATTCATGGCGACTCACTCTCTCCTTTATTTCACATTAAATCTCCCAGTTTGAGGTCTCTTTAGGGGGGGGGGGCAGACATAATGCGGCTATTGAAGGGGGAAAGGGGGGCATTGAACGCACCTTCTTTATCCTCGGTTACATGCTGCTTTCAGGGCTTGTGGGACACTTCAGCACCCCGGAGAAAAACAGGGGTAAAATTAAAAAGGAACAATTATCAAAAAGGCAGTTTTTTAAAATCATTAATTTAGAACATTTAGCAAATTAAGAAAATTACTTAATAATATCTGAGGCACGTAAGGACAGTTTTATTGTCAAAAACTGATACGAATTTCACAAGAAAATTAATTTAAAATATAAAATAAAACAGGATAAATTACAACAACAAAAAAGCAAATTTTTACTAAATGTAGCATATTATTTAATCATATCAATAATTACATTACATTACATTTAGCTGACGCTTTTATCCAAAGCGTGAGGTCTTCTAAAATGTTTTTAAATATAACTACGGTTCTAGTTGAAGAGTTTGTAAATTAACATGAACGCAAGCTGTTGCCTGGCAACGCAATCGCACAACGTCACATCCGTTAATTCCACATCCACACACATGGATTAACATCGATTTAATACATGAATGTAGCCTGTTTCTGCTAAAAGAGGTGTCGACCAGCTGGGGCAACAAGAACATCGGCGAAATCGAGTGTGACTATTACAAAATAAATCATTATTATATTAATATTGACAATAACAACCGACCGTCGGGGTAGCATTTGCTTGGCACTTCCGGGTATTTCTCCACTGGTTGGGCCATGTTAACAATACTGTGTAACTGTCACGTTTGAAGGGACAAAATCGTGACATCTTCACGTCTCCCAGCATGGTAGATCGTCACATGTTCACGTCTTGCCGTGATACCGGGTTGTTCCATGGATCAGCGGCGCCGGATTCATTACAGAAGTGGGGGGGGGCAAAAAGTGCATGTGTATGTGACATACTTGCCAACCCTCCCGATTTCATTGCCCTCTCCCGGTTTCCTCCCGGGGTCATATTTACCCCGCATTTCTCCCTGTTTCTGACTAAATCTGATTTGTGAGTCACGACCTGTTTCATTCTAACATAACGCTCCAAATGTTACTGTTTCCACTCGGACTTCAATACAGCTACACCATTGTTTGGTTTCCATGGTAACGCGTCTCTTTAGTAGCCACGCAACTGAAAGTCTGAGAGGGTGTTCAGCATGGGGAGGAAGATAGTCACAGAAAACAGAAGAAGAATGGACCGACCCTCTGCTCACTCCTTTCCTGTACATTAAACTACACATGGCAGCGCATCCATCATCCCATCTCTCCTTGTTCCTGCTCAATACGCTCTTGTTTGACAAGCTGAACGTTGACTGGCGTATGACTGAAGTAAGCGCACTTTTTTGAACACACTCTCTGTGAAAAGTTCCAGTTATTAACTCCGGTATTTACAAAGCTGAGAAAAAGGCCTTCAAAGTTTCCTCTTCTCTGGAATCCATCGATCTGATTGATTATCAGCGGAGCAAATGATCAAAGTATTTACGGAGAAGATATTTTCGTTTGGATTACTGGTCTGGGGGAAGCTTGCGAGTGTGTGTGTGTGTGTGTGTGTGTGTGTGTGTGTGTGTGCGTGCATGTGTGTGTGTTTGTGTATTTTTGCGTTTGTGTGTATTGTGTTTGTTTCCCGGGGAAAACACTCACGAGAAACACCGGCTGTTGTTATGCCTGCTGTGACGTCAAGTTGCTCCGTTCTCCGCTGCGAAAATGTGGGGCAGGGCTGTAAAGTGGGGGGGGGGGGGGCAATGGCCCCCTGGCCCCCCTGCTTGCGGCGCCCTTGCCATGGATGCACTGGTGGGGGAGGAGGGAGACCTTGTACTCGATCCTCGGTTCCACGGGGAGCCAGTGTAGTGATTTAAGGATGGGGGTGATGTGATCATATTTGCGCACCCTCCTATCAGAGACTCTTTGGGACATTTCACTAATTAGTTAACGAGCAACAGGAGGCCGGTGACCACATGATTAAATAATGATATAAAGGAATTCATTTTTCTCGATCCGAGCCGAGATCACGGCGTTCAACCGGACCGTGGTTTATTTAGACTAATTCATAAATAATAATGAATTAAATCAAATGTACAGGTCAACACTTCCTCTTTATATAAGAGAAACATATATATACTTGGTACATTATATAACATTACACACATTTTATTGAGTGTGAAATAATAATCTCTGCAGTAAAAATAAAACATTTACCTGTAACATGTTGCTGTAAAGATGATATTTAATTATGAATAAAGACACAGAATATTAATTAATAAGATTATGTTCCACTTTAAACTCAAACTGTTAAAGTGAATGGAGTTCAAAATCAGTTTCACATTGTTCATTAGTGTTTCTGATCAAGTTTAGTTATTTAAAATAATACAATGTTATCAGAGGAGTTTAGAAACGCCCGTATCATTACCAGAACTCCTTCCACTGATCATATCACTCATAACGACTCCATCGGCTCCCCGTTAAATACCGCATCCACTTCAAAGTGTTGCTCCTCACCTTCGAGGCCCTTCACACACCTCCATATCTCTCTGAACTCCTCCACACCTCCACTCCCTCTCGTGCTCTCCGGTCCTCCTCTGCCTTCCAGCTCACTGTACCTTCTGCCCGCCGGACCACCATGGGGTCACGAGCCTTCAGCCACTCTGCCCCCCGTCTCTGGAGCTCTCTCTCACAAGACATCCGCAACATGGACTCTCTCTCAACCTTCAAATCCTGCCTGAAAACCCACCTTTTTAAACTGGTGTATTCTATATCACAATTCCTCTACACTGATGACGTCCTTGAGAGCTTTGAAAGGCGCCCATAAATAAAATGCATTATTATTATTATTATTAAAGTGCCATTTTTTAATGATATCTTGTATTTGTATTTCCTTCCAGAGGTGCAGAAGCTGTCGAGCCTGGTTCTCCCGAGCGAGGTGATCATCGCTCAGAGCTCCGTGCCAGGTAACGTTACTGTGTTCAATACGAGGTGTTTCTGTGATTCAATGTGGGTTCAAACATCGTTTTTATTATTTAGGAGGAACATTACAGTGTTTTGAAAGCATATTTCACCTTTTAGCGTCTCAGCTGTTTCTGTCATTTAAATGTAGCAGAAAAAGACATGTTTTGTTATATTTGCAAATTGTCATAAAACATTTTATTAATGTATTATCCTGTTGAGGATTCGTATAAAAGCTCGTCCACATCTAAGGCTATTAAAGCATCTATTAACTAAAGATGAATATAAAATAAATACAATTTATTTATGATTTTTAAACGGACGAACGGAGTGTGTCTGATATCGTGAAGCGTTCACTCTAAATCATGTCCAGAAACGCGCTGCAGCTTCAGAAAGGATGCAGATATAAAAGGTTCCACATGAAGAAACCTCTTCAGCAACACATGCAGCTTTTAGAGAACATTCAGCAACTTGAGGAGACATGCGCAGCGTTTACTGAAAGCTGCAAATACAAAACGCTGAAGAAGCTCAAACACAACGGAGACCAGGGGACACTAAAGAGTGACGCACACAGCTGGGAGACCAGGGGACACTAAAGAGTGACGCACACAGCTGGGAGACCAGGGGACACTAAAGAGTGACGCACACAGCTGGGAGACCAGGGGACACTAAAGAGTGACGCACACAGCTGGGAGACCAGGGGACACTAAAGAGTGACGCACACAGCTGGGAGACCAGGGGACACTAAAGAGTGACGCACACAGCTGGGAGACCAGGGGACACCAAAGAGTGACGCACACAGCTGGGAGACCAGGGGACACTAAAGAGTGACGCACACAGCTGGGAGACCAGTGGACACTAAAGAGTGACGCACACAGCTGGGAGACAAGGGGACACTAAAGAGTGACGCACACAGCTGGGAGATCAGGGGATACTAAAGAGTGACGCACACAGCTGGGAGACCAGGGGACACTAAAGAGTGACGCACACAGCTGGAGACCAGGGGACACTAAAGAGTGACGCACACAGCTGGGAGACCAGGGGACACTAAAGAGTGAAGCACACAGCTGGGAGACCAGGGGACACTAAAGAGTGACGCACACAGCTGGGAGACCAGGGGACACTAAAGAGTGACGCACACAGCTGGGAGACCAGGGGACACTGAAGAGTGACGCACACAGCTCGGAGACCAGGGGACACTAAAGAGTGACGCACACAGCTCGGAGACCAGGGGACACTAAAGAGTGACGCACACAGCTGGGAGACCAGGGGACACTAAAGAGTGACGCACACAGCTGGGAGACCAGGGGACACTAAAGAGTGACGCACACAGCTGGGAGACCAGGGGACACTAAAAAATATAATTATAATTGTATTAATAAAACGTATATATTTTGTGTTTCAGGAGAAGGTTTGGGGATCTTCTCGAAGACGTGGATTAAAGCAGGAACAGAGATGGGACCGTTCACCGGACGTCTGATTTCCCCTGAACACATCGACCTGTACAAGAACAACAACCTCATGTGGGAGGTAAACAAACACACATTTACACACACACACACACACACACACACACACACACACACACACACACACACACACACACACACACACACACACACACACACACACACACAAGATATATCGCAAATCTTGAAATGCTAACTACTAATACGATATATCGTACGTCTAAGTATAATTTATTAAACCCTGAAAGACTAAAACGATGTGTTTGTAGTTAGCGTTACATATTACGATTGTGTTTCGGCCCTTACGATCTAAACCGAGGTGTTTTCCGTTCTTCAGGTGTTTAACGAGGACGGGACGGTCCGATATTTCATCGACGCGAGTCAGGAGGACCAGAGGAGCTGGATGACGTACATCAAGTGTGCGAGGAACGAGCAGGAGCAGAATCTGGAGGTGGTGCAGGTCGGCAGCAGCATCTTCTACAAGGCCGTGGAGGTCAGTGTGGCTTACGAGGTTACTTGTTCTAGGCTGAGGTTGTTCTGGCTGAGGTTGTTCTAGGCTGAGGTTGTTCTAGGCTGAGGTTGTTCTAGGCTGAGGTTGTTCTAGGTTGAGGTTGTTCTAGGCTGAGGTTGTTCTAGGCTGAGGTTGTTCTAGGTTGAGGTTGTTCTAGGCTGAGGTTGTTCTAGGTTGAGGTTGTTCTAGGCTGAGGTTGTTCTAGGCTGAGGTTGTTCTAGGTTGAGGTTGTTCTAGGTTGAGGTTGTTCTAGGCCACCCCGGATGTCCAAGTTAACCTGACATGTTTCCATCTTAAGCTTTGTTAGTTAGTTAGTTTCCTAACGGACGTAATGTAACAGCTGTAACGGTTGTAGCTGTTTCTCAGACGCGGAGGGATACTGACTTGTTGTGAAAAGTAACTACAATTCTACCCGTGATATACGCTCATTATATCACGGCTAAGAACCAATCAGATCGCTTGATTTGACTTATCCGTTTTATAATTATTTATTATCTTTTAAATATTATTATTATTATTATTATTATTATTATTATTATTATTATTATTATTATTATAACAGTGCTGTAGAGGTCATTGAACGCACCGCCTCCTGTCCACTGACGCAGAGTTTCTTAATTTATTTATAAAGCTCATTGCATTGCTGATGGTTGTGCTGCACATGATTTACAACGCAAGATATTATTATATTTCAAATGCATGTTCTACAATGTCCTTCATACGAGGCAGCTTGTTATAATTTAGTCATATTTAGTCGTATAAAATTATGTAAATTAAATATACATTCCCGGTAAAAATGAGTGACCTTTGAATCAATTTCAGTAATAGAAGAATTAAAGAGGCAGTTAGATCAGGACATTCAAAATGAAGATGCAGGAGTGTGTGTGTGTGTGTGTGTGTGTGTGTGTGTGTGTGTGTGGTGGGAGTGTGTCGCCCTCTGCTGGAAGACTATATGTATTTATTTGATGGTGAACATGGACTTTTATTCACCATGAAAACTCCCCGCCTCATTACTGACATCAACACAATTATCTTTGACTAGGGCTGTGCGATTATGGCAAAAATCATAATCACGATTATTTTGGTCAATAATTGATATCACGATTATTAAAAACGATTATCCATTTACTTTGAAAACATCCATATATTGAAAAAAAACATTTGAACAGTATGTTTTTAACAGTTGATTACCCTGAACCTTAAGTATAATTCAACAGAAAAAAAAAAAAAAAAAAAAAAAAAAATTACATTTATTTATTTTTTAATAAAAATAATAATCGTTTTATTTCGATTACATTGTTTTCGTAATCGTTGCAAGCCAAAATCGTAATCGAGATTAAAATACGATTAATTGCACAGCCCTATCTTTGACATTATAAGTTCTCTGACATGTTGTGTTTACAGATGCAAATGAGGTGTAATATTTGGAGAGATCTCCAGACACAAACAGAGACAGTTAGTAAAACAAAATGATTAGATGTTTCCTTTCACTTCAGTTAAATAGAAGACATGTTATTAAAGATAAATATGAGAAACAGACATGACGACGTTTTGGTCCCTAACAACACGTTTCCTCTCCTCAGACGATTCCTCCGGACCAGGAGCTCCTCGTGTGGTACGGAAACTCCCACAACACGTTCCTGGGAATACCGGGAATACCTGGAGGAGACGAAGAGCAGACCAAGAAGACAAAGACAGGTAAATATGATTTTATTATCTGTAAATTAATCCATGAATGTGGATCCTGACAAGATCTTTTATTTCACCTGTTTTTACGTCATAATCACAGAAGAGAAAATTATTCAAATCAGTTTTTCTCCCTTGCCTCTCAGGGCTTCTGTACAATAATTAAAATATCCGATGGTTTAAAACCTGCAGGAATGAGTCTGAAACCCAGACAGTCAGCATTGTATCACTTCCTGTCCCCTCCTCTAAAAGTCAATGGTTTTCTGAATGTGTTTTTGGTTGTTATCCTGAAATAAAGTCATCACGCCCAACATTAGCCTCCTTTAGCTTAGTGGTGGTGACGTGAAGTCATGTGACCGTGCTGTAGTTCCTTTATAGCCCAACATTAGCCTCCTTTAGCTTAGCGGTGGTGACGTGAAGTCATGTGACCGTGCTGTAGTTCCTTTATAGCCCAACATTAGCCACCTTTAGCTTAGCGGTGGTGACGTGAAGTCATGTGACCGTGCTGTAGTTCCTTTATAGCCCAACATTAGCCACCTTTAGCTTAGCGGTGGTGACGTGAAGTCATGTGACCGTGCTGTAGTTCCTTTATAGCCCAACATTAGCCTCCTTTAGCTTAGCGGTGGTGACGTGAAGTCATGTGACCGTGCTGTAGTTCCTTTATAGCCCAACATTAGCCACCTTTAGCTTAGCGGTGGTGACGTGAAGTCATGTGACCGTGCTGTAGTTCCTTTATAGCCCAACATTAGCCACCTTTAGCTTAGCGGTGGTGACGTGAAGTCATGTGACCGTGCTGTAGTTCCTTTATAGCCCAACATTAGCCACCTTTAGCTTAGCGGTGGTGACGTGAAGTCATGTGACCGTGCTGTAGTTCCTTTATAGCCCAACATTAGCCACCTTTAGCTTAGCGGTGGTGACGTGAAGTCATGTGACCGTGCTGTAGTTCCTTTATAGCCCAACATTAGCCTCCTTTAGCTTAGCGGTGGTGACGTGAAGTCATGTGACCGTGCTGTAGTTCCTTTATAGCCCAACATTAGCCACCTTTAGCTTAGCGGTGGTGACGTGAAGTCATGTGACCGTGCTGTAGTTCCTTTATAGCCCAACATTAGCCACCTTTAGCTTAGCGGTGGTGACGTGAAGTCATGTGACCGTGCTGTAGTTCCTTTATAGCCCAACATTAGCCACCTTTAGCTTAGCGGTGGTGACGTGAAGTCATGTGACCGTGCTGTAGTTCCTTTATAGCCCAACATTAGCCACCTTTAGCTTAGCGGTGGTGACGTGAAGTCATGTGACCGTGCTGTAGTTCCTTTATAGCCCAACATTAGCCTCCTTTAGCTTAGCATTCAACGTTTGTTTAACACGGAGATTATTTTCTACATAATCCAAAATCAGATGGAGAAATCCCATTGGACCAGGGAGATGCTGCCTTCAGGGTCCACTACAGAAATGCCACATCCCTGCACCGCTCTATAATCCCTCCTCTTCCTCCTCCAGATGAGTTCCACACCTGTGAAGGCTCCTCCTCCTCTTCCTCCTCCTGCTCTTCCTCCTCCTCTTCCTCCTCCTCCATCAGTGTTGGTCGCATGCGTTGTGTAATCTGTCATCGCGGGTTCAACTCCCGCAGCAACCTCCGCTCTCACATGAGGATTCACACGCTGGACAAACCCTTCGTCTGCCGCTTCTGCAACAGACGCTTCAGCCAGTCGTCGACTCTGAGGAATCACGTGCGCCTGCACACCGGAGAGCGACCGTACAAGTGCCTCGTCTGCCAGTCCGCCTACTCCCAGCTGGCCGGGCTGCGCGCGCATCAGAAGAGCGCCCGGCACCGGCCATCTGCAGACGCCAATGCTAAGGCTAACGCCATCGCTATCGCTAACGCCGCCGTGGGAGGAGGGAACATGATGGTGCACTCCCCTCAGAATCACCCCCCCCAGCTGAGCATGCCTCACCCAGCCTCTCTGGTTCACCACATCCCCACCATGGTGCTGTGAGAGGCATCACTGAACAAGAGCTACTGAATTATACATTTGTCAGCAGTTTTAAACACGTTGTTAAAGTTGTAAATTGAAAACAGATCAACAAAAAAGCTGGCTAGGTTTAGCTCAATATTATGGTTGAAACTATTGATCAATCAACGCTAAAAATGACATGCTTGTTGAACTAAACTCCATCCAGTCACAGTTGAAGGGTAACGTTACGTATCTTATCCCGGGTAACGTCAGAAACCGTAGAAGTTCTGGTTAAAGTTGTACTATTGAAAACAGATCAACAGATGTTTTAATTCCTCCTGGCTAGGTTCAGCTAAACTTCGTGGTTCGCCTTCCAAGAGGTACGTTTAATATGTGACGGACGAACATTGAGCCAGATTATTCGTACATCATGAATCCTCTGACGTTACCATTCACCGAACCTGCATCGTTGGAGCAAAGAAACCCTGGCTAGGTTTAGATAAAGATTTTGGTTTGGCCTTAGAGTACTCTTTTGAAGTACCCGAATACTGACGTTCCCATTGAACTAAAGTCCATCCAGTCGCAGACGAAGGGTAACGTTACGTATCTTATCCCTCAGAAACCGTAGAAGTTTGAACACGTGGTTTTGGTTGTAAATGGAAACAAGACTACTTGGTTGAGACAACATTGGGTTTCGGCCATATACCCCCCATGGTGCTGTGAGAGGGCAGACATGAGTCACAGCAGAACAATAACTAGTGAATTATACATTTGAACCAAACTGCGTCCTCAATAACCGTAAAGGGTAACGTCAGCAGTTTTAAAAAACGTGGTTAAAGTTGTAAATTGAAAAAGATCAACAGATCTTTAAATCCGGTTGAACTAAACATCGTGGTTTGAAACATATTTAAAAAAAGCCAGATTAGTCGTACGTCATGAATCCTCTTACGTTCCCATTCAACGAACCTGCATCATTGTCCTTGGTATCGGCCAGTAAACCCTTTCCTCTAGCGTTGGCTATAAATGACGATTGATCACCGTTGTTTACGTGCGTGCAGCATCGTGCCACATGTATGTCTGCATTAGGACACAGTGACATCACGCTTCAGTAGCTTTAAGGTGTTAGTGTACACACCTAAGATTATATCGCACCATATTGGGTGCCAAGTGTAGATTAATTAGAGGATTTATTAAATTATTAAGCACTAAGCATATGTACTTATTTAGAGTAGGCATCATAGTTATTTATAATAAAAGGTAGGAGGACTGCATTTTTGAAAAGCGCTTTTATTTTGCAATTAACGCCACAGCTGGACGTGGATTCAGCTGGGTGAACACACACACACACACACACACACACACACACACACACACACACACACACACACACACACACACACACACACACACACACACACACACACACACACACACACACACACACACACACACACACACACACACATTACGCATCGTCTCTTCACACTGATCCTTAAAACTGTTGCATGCTGGGACGTTGTTAGCCCTATCAGTGTCTGTGAGACGTGGTGCGTTGCTCTGCATGCTGCTCTGGTAACGTTTTAAGTATGTGTGTGTGATGGAAACTCAACGTCAGAGGAAGTCCTGCATCGTGCTGATTGTTGGTCCATTCTCGTGACACAAACACACTTTATATTCTGTGCATTAAGTGTGTTGGCTGCAGTGGAAGGTGAAGCATTATTGCTGTTGTTGTCATGTCTCTGAAAGTCCCACAATAAGCAGATCCTCCCGTATCCTACAAAGTCAGATTGCAGTGTTTTTAATGGAGTCTGGCGGCTTAGAAGTGCACGGAAATGTACGTAAGCAACACTTAAAAATAACAACAAATACCAGTTGAGGTATCCACGATATTTAGGATGCTTCCACAGCTTCAGCTTGCCGTCAGATTAGGGCTGTGCAATTAATCGTATTTTAACCTCGATTACGATTTTGGCTTGCAACGATTACGAAAACAATGTAATCGAAATAAAACGATTATTATTTTTATTATTAAAAAAAATATAAAAATGTAATTTCTTTTTTTTTTTTATAGTTTTTTCTGTTGAATTATACTTAAAGTTCAGGGTAATCAACTGTTAAAAACATACTGTTCACATTTTTTTTTCAATATATGGATAATCGTTTTTAATAATCGTGATATCAATTATTGACCAAAATAATCGTGATTATGATTTTTGCCATAATCGCACAGCCCTACGTCAGATAGTCCTCTACGCTCTCGTGATTTAACGTCACCGAACACGAGATCTACCGCCAATACCTGAGTGTTTTGAGTTGATGTGAAACACAGCTGGGAAACTACAGAATGACAATGCATTATATCAGCGTATAATAATAGCACTCTTTAATCTCGTCTATGAACAAGATCTTCTTTTCGCTGCATGCTAACAGGGTCGTCTCTAAAAACTCAGATGTGTAATTATTATGAATGATATTATTATTCTCTGTTAACCCCAAATTGGGTCTGAGCGGGTTCAGGTGAGACACTGACTCTCTGTGTTCACTTGACCTGTGTTCAATGATCAGAGTGATGGATCAGGAGCTCCAGCTGTTAGCAGCTTCTCTCCATGTGATGTACATAAACTGTCAGAGTAATAATCATGTGAATATAAATGTGCTTTGAGCATTTTAAGAAATTAATTCAACCGTCACTTTATCAGACGTCACATGTGTGAAGTATGTTGAGTTAAAGGACGTTGTATTTGAGCGTATATACTCCTAATAAAGTATCACTAAAGTCTGTCTGTGTGTTTTTATACGTATAATTAAGATCCAGCTGAACGACCAGAACCAGCACCAGGCCCAATATACAAGGTGAGAGAGACACAGTACTACTGTAGGTACAAATATACAAGGTGAGAGAGACACAAGTACTACTGTAGGTACAAATATACAAGGTGAGAGAGACACAAGTACTACTGTAGGTACAAATATACAAGGTGAGAGAGACACAAGTACTACTGTAGGTACAAATATACAAGGTGAGAGAGACACAAGTACTACTGTAGATACACATATACAAGGTGAGAGAGACACAAGTACTGGAGGTACACATATACAAGGTGAGAGAGACACAAGTACTGGAGGTACACATATACAAGGTCAGAGAGACACAAGTACTGGAGGTACACATATACAAGGTGAGAGAGACACAAGTACTGGAGGTACATATATATACTCTCAGAGAGAAACAAGTACTACTGTAGGTACATATATATACTCTCAGAGAGACACAGTACTACTGTAGGCACACATATACAAGGTGAGAGAGACACAAGTACTACTGTAGGTACACATATACAAGGTGAGAGAGACAAGTACTACTGTAGGTACATATATATACTCTCAGAGAGACACAGTACTACTGTAGGCACACATATACAAGGTGAGAGAGACACAATTACTACTGTAGGTACACATATACAAGGTGAGAGAGACACAAGTACTACTGTAGGTACAAATATACAAGGTCAGAGAGACACAAGTACTACTGTAGGTACACATATACAAGGTGAGAGAGACACAAGTACTGGAGGTACACATATACAAGGTCAGAGAGACACAAGTACTACTGTAGGTACACATATACAAGGTGAGAGAGACACAAGTACTACTGTAGGTACACATATACAAGGTGAGAGAGACACAAGTACTACTGTAGGTACAAATATACAAGGTGAGAGAGACAAGTACTACTGTAGGTACAAATATACAAGGTGAGAGAGACACAAGTACAACTGTAGGTACAAATATACAAGGTGAGAGAGACACAAGTACTACTGTAGGTACAAATATACAAGGTGAGAGAGACACAAGTACTACTGTAGGTACAAATATACAAGGTGAGAGAGACACAAGTACTACTGTAGGTACACATATACAAGGTGAGAGACACACAAGTACTACTGTAGGTACAAATATACAAGGTGAGAGAGACACAAGTACTACTGTAGGTACAAATATACAAGGTGAGAGAGACACAAGTACTGTAGGTACATATATATACTCTCAGAGAGACACAAGTACTACTGTAGGTACATATATATACTCTCAGAGAGACACAGTACTACTGTAGGCACACATATACAAGGTGAGAGAGACACAAGTACTACTGTAGGTACAAATATACAAGGTGAGAGAGACAAGTACTACTGTAGGTACAAATATACAAGGTGAGAGAGACACAAGTACTACTGTAGGTACAAATATACAAGGTGAGAGAGACACAAGTACTACTGTAGGTACACATATACAAGGTGAGAGAGACACAAGTACTACTGTAGGTACACATATACAAGGTCAGAGAGACACAAGTACTACTGTAGGTACAAATATACAAGGTGAGAGAGACACAAGTACTACTGTAGGTACAAATATACAAGGTGAGAGAGACACAAGTACTACTGTAGGTACAAATATACAAGGTGAGAGAGACACAAGTACTACTGTAGGTACAAATATACAAGGTGAGAGAGACACAAGTACTACTTTAGGTACACATATACAAGGTGAGATAGACACAAGTACTACTGTAGGTACAAATATACAAGGTGAGAGAGACACAAGTACTACTGTAGGTACAAATATACAAGGTGAGAGAGACACAAGTACTACTGTAGGTACAAATATACAAGGTGAGAGAGACACAAGTACTACTGTAGGTACAAATGTACAAGGTGAGAGAGACACAAGTACTACTGTAGGTACAAATATACAAGGTGAGAGACACAAGTACTGGAGGTACACATATATACTCTCAGAGACACAAGTACTACTGTAGGTACACATATATACTCTCAGAGACACAAGTACTACTGTAGGTACACATATACTCTCAGAGACACAAGTACTACTGTAGGTACAAATATACAAGGTCAGAGAGACACAAGTACTACTGGAGGTACACATATACAAGGTGAGAGAGACACAAGTACTACTGGAGGTACACATATACAAGGTGAGAGAGACACAAGTACTACTGTAGGTACAAATATACAAGGTGAGAGAGACACAAGTACTACTGGAGGTACACATATACAAGGTGAGAGAGACACAAGTACTACTGTAGGTACAAATATACAAGGTGAGAGAGACACAAGTACTACTGTAGGTACACATATACAAGGTGAGAGAGACACAAGTACTACTGTAGGTACACATATACAAGGTGAGAGAGACACATATATACTCTCAGAGAGACAGAAGTACTACTGTAGGTAGACATATACATAGAGGTGGGAGAAGTACACAGGTCTGCACTTGAGTAGAAGTAGAAGTACATGGTGTAGATCAGGGGGTCCAAACGTTTTTCAGCGAGGGCCACATACAGAGAAACATAGGAAGGTCTGGGCCGCTCTCCAGAGGTCTATCGCCTCTCAGTTATAAGTTAGCAGAGAGGATGACGTGAAGGTACATGAAGCCTCATGAGCTCAGGTATAAGTTAGCAGAGAGGATGACGTGAAGGTACGTGAAGCCTCATGAGCTCAGTTATGAGTTAGCAGAGAGGATGACGTGAAGGTACGTGAAGCCTCATGAGCTCAGGTATAAGTTAGCAGAGAGGATGACGTGAAGGTACGTGAAGCCTCATGAGCTCAGTTATGAGTTAGCAGAGAGGATGACGTGAAGGTACGTGAAGCCTCATGAGCTCAGTTATGAGTTAGCAGAGAGGATGACGTGAAGGTACGTGAAGCCTCATGAGCTCAGTTATGAGTTAGCAGAGAGGATGACGTGAAGGTACGTGAAGCCTCATGAACTCAGGTATAAGTTAGCAGAGAGGATGACGTGAAGGTACGTGAAGCCTCATGAGCTCAGGTATAAGTTAGCAGAGAGGATGACGTGAAGGTACGTGAAGCGTGAGACTTGCTGTTGGAAACACAACAGCCTTCATCTCAGCTCTCCAGCCTTACTTCATTGAGTTGGCAGCTCATGCTTTAAAACAGAAGCTTCAGACTGATTATAAAAAGATTTGTTATGCAAATAAATGATTGAGCTTTTTAAGATTAGTTTGAAAATGTTTCCAACTTGAATTGATTGAACTTATTTGAAAAGTGGGCACACATGAATACTGTGATATATATTTGTACATATACATTTAATAAGTACAATATATTACGTGCTTCGAGGAACCCTCTCTCTCCAAGAGTCTCGTTTGCACAGAATTGATGCTAAGCTAGCTAGCTCCAATATTTCTTTTTCCAAACCAGTAATGAACTGAAGACAACATGTTTTTAGTCATCGTGATGAACTGGTTATTGTCGGTTCTTCAGATGTTCTGTACAGTAATCCTCTAAGGTTTGAAGAATACATGCTTTTTGGACGCTTTCCATGAAGATGTCAAAGCAGACATATTACACATAGATGGAAAATATGAAGTTCATTTAGTTTTTTGCTTTAGATTTTTCACTCCAGCCTCAAGGACTCTATGGGAGTCATGTCTCTCGCTGGTTTTGTTCGGCTGAGTCGATCCTGTAGCTGTGAGAGGAAGAGTGTGTGCTTTAAAAAGGTCTTTGTTCGAGGAGGGAGTGAAATAGAAACACTCTAATCTCAGTCAGGAGGCCAGAGAGTAAAAGCATTATGTGCTTCGAGGAACCCTCTCTCTCTTTAGGCGCATTCCAACCAGTCTCACGGCATTTCGTGTTATAGTCACGAAATTAATGTAATCTATTGATTCGTGTTCACCAACACGATTTTCACATTTTTTTCGTGTCACACAGAACGATTTTAAATGCAATGTATTTCTATTGGTAGTATGTTTCGTGCCTGCAACATGTCTTTTTGTCCGGTCGGGTCTTGGAAGACCAGAAGCTGTGTGGTTCATAAAAACATGTTCTTACTCAATATCTTACCCTAAGCCTAACCCTATCCCTTTTATTTTAAATTGTATAATGTCTGAGTTTTGTTGCCGTCAGTGAGGAAAAGAAATGTCTCAGAGCCTCAGAATACTGACATCTGTATTTTATGTCATCTTTTTTTCCTTCTAATTTGTTATTATTTGGTGCAGGCACGAAACATACTACCAATATAAATGCATTGCTTCTAAAATCGTTCTGTGTCAGAATACTGAAATCTGTATTTTTTTAAATGTCTTTTTCCTTCTAATTTGTTATTATTTACATTGCTTTTAAAATCGTTCTGTGTGACACGAAAAAAATGTGGAAATCATGTTGGTGAACACGAATCAATAGATTAATGTCGTGACTATAACACGAAATGCCGTGAGACTGTGTTGTGTATTCAGAAACTAGACAGAAGTGAAACAAGTACAAACCACAGACTGCCTGTGTCATGGTGAATACAGTCGCTGCTTTATTTATGTCTGTATAGGCCGTTGTTGTGAGTGTGGACGGTCGGAGCATATACTGCGTTAGCTTAGCCAATCTCCATTTAGAAAAACACGCATTTTAAAGGTGTTTCTCCTGCCGTCTGTCTGCAGACTTGACAAAGCATTAATTCATGGTTTTTACTAACCGGTATCAGTATGTTGTTACTTCGTCATTTAGAAACGTGTATTACAATTAAATCACGGTCAGATATGTCCATCATGTTGTAGTTGTAGCCACTCACGTCACTAGTTTAACATATTCAGCCCGGTTGTTGGCCCGGAAAGAACCTGGATTTTGGAGAGCCAGAAAACTGTGAAACGGTACCCGTTAGCCGGAACTACCCCGAGTGGAAACGCAACCAAAAACGGGCCGGGCACGGCACGCTTAACCCGTGCTACGCGCTGCAGTGGAAATGCGCCATTAGAGTCTGTTTTCGTCTCGTTTGCACAGAATTGATGCTAAGCTAGCTAGCTCCAATATTTCATTTTCCAAACCAGTAATGAACTGAAGACTACATGTTTTTAGTCATCGTGATGAACTGGTTATTGTCGGTTCTTCAGATTGCAAACACAAGTTTAATCTGTGGGCCATTTTTCATGAGACTATTTGAATTAGCTGAGGGCCGTTTCAAAATGGGCTGCATTTGGCCCCCGGGCCGTAGTTTGGACACCCCTGATATAGAGATATAATGTGCTTTACACTGCTGTCAGGTGACAGGATGGATGTGTGGGTTGTTGTCGTAGTTTGTGTTGTTGCTGTTGAGTTGTTGTTGTTGTTATTGTGTTTGTTTTCAGAATCAGAATCAGATCAGAAACCTCTACTCGTCCCAGAGGGAAATGTGCACGAGTTACGTTTGATTTGATTTGATTAGAAAAAACAATAATACAAAAATGTAACATGAGCAGTGTAACACGCACGTATGAGAGGCCGTCTAGCTCACAACTCATACTTGGTCTTACAAACAATATCAGAATCTCTCATGTACACCACCAGACTCTTTCACACACAGTATCATACCGTCTTTAACGTACTGTCATTCCTTCCTTCATTTACTATCATACTATCATACATAAATAACTATTCTCTCTCACACACAAAAACAAAATCTCTTAAACGCACCATCATACTCTCGTACACACACCACTATTGTCTTTCACATACAACTATAATCTAATAGAACATTATAATAGTGTATGTGAAAGAGTGTAATCGGTAAACAATGTATGTAAGACAGAATAATAACCTATGTAAGAGGGAATAGTATTTCATGTTAATAACAATAGTTGTCTATGTAAAACGGAATAGCAGTGAATGAAAGGCCGAATAATAGCTTATATAAGAGGTAATAATAGTTCATGTGAATGACTATATAGGTATGTGTATAAACAGAATGATAGGGTGTGTGCATAAGAATAGTTATGTGTGTGAGAGAGTATGATTGAAAAGGAAGTGAGTATGATTGAAAAGGAAGTTGGACTAAATTCTCAGTTCCTGATTGGCTGTACGTTTTTTGTTTGACGGACACCGCCCACCCCCACATAGCGCCATTGTGAGATGAGAAAATGGTGGAAAGGGAGCGACTTAATGAAGCCATAGGCCTCTTAACTAATATTTTAGATAGGCCTTCTCCAAATGTTGTCACATCGCTGTCAGGAATGATGGATCAAAGGCGACAGTCGACGTCGTCCACAGTAGGCAATTCTAGTGCGAGCGTTGACGAGGAATTGCAGCGGGCCTTCAGACGTGGATCAGGTGCATCAGGGAGTGGCGGTGGAGCCTCATTAGGCGCCAACCTGAACCAAGTGCTGCAACCCCGATATCAAACTCAGCAGTATTTTGGGGGATGGACTTCAAAGTCAAGGAAGAGGTACGTTTATTTTTTAAATGTCAACCGTGGTCATTTTAATATGTATGTTGTTGATTGAAGCCGTTTCTTACTGCTTGAAGCTAACGCTTTATTAACCTACTATAGCGGGGCAGTCAAATGTTAGAAACGAGACTAATCACAGGGTTCCCGCGGGGTCTTAAAAAGCCTTACATTTAATAATCAGAATTTAAGCCCTTAAATATGATTTTAAAAATCAAGAAAGGTCTTCAATATGATTTAATAGGTCTTTAAACGGATTTGGAAGGTACTTCTGTGTTGCAGTTCCCCCCCCAAATTATTTATATGGAAATAAATCAACATGGAACCAATAACTTGCTGCAATAACTTTGCATCCCCTGGCCCCTTATTGGAGAACACCCAGCTAGTAACTAGCAACCAAGCGTTAGCTAGCGTCAGTTCAGAGCCGGAGGTATCTTCACATCTTTTTACGAACATTATGGGGAAGTGTAAGTTTAACCGAATATGGTTGGAGAAAGGGGCATTTAGTGCTTGGTTGAAACTAGTGAAGGGGAACGTGTTAGAAGCCCGCTGCACCTTATGCTAGTGTGTAAAGGCTTTTGGAATCACACACGCAGTCAGCGAAACATAAGACCCAGGTAAGGAATAAACAACAAACGCCTGCCATGTCCTCTGTGTTCGCCAATGCGTCGCGAGCATCACGCGTGTCCAGTGTAATGTTACCCAGTAATTCAGCTCCCGCAACAACATCGGGGATAACCTTGGGTACAGTACAATACAGTTTTTACTTAATTGTTACAGATTTAATTTAATTTTCAGTTTCTCAGTTCTCTTTTAGTATTTTGTTTAATCTAATATTGCAAGTGTTTTTATTGGGGGGGGGGGTTGTTGTTTTTGTTGTTTAGTTTGCATGTATATTGCTACTGGATGTCAACATTTCCCTCAGGATCTACAGTGTATCTATCTATTCTATCTAATCTATCTATCTAACAATAATGTTGCTTTCTTTTTTAGGACCACTGGCACTGTCCAAAATCACCCCACCTTCACCAAGGATGTAATTCTGTTACCTCATCCAGAATGGGATGCAGTTTGTAAGCACAAAACAAAGAGAAGGCTTCATCAAAAAGGCTTTATTTTAAATGCCTTCGAGATGAAGAAAATCTGGGACTGCAGGACAGTCATTGCTGAGCTAAGGGAAGCATTCAAGGACAACATTCCAGAGGGAGTCAGGTATTGTCTGAATATTTAGGCTATGTCTGGTATTGTTCATGAGTTGATTGCTTCAGAATAATTTTATGTATTTGTATTTTGCTCTTTTTTTTCAGTATTGAACTTTTGATGCCATGTGGAAACAAACTTGTTTCACCAAAGCTGCGTGAGGGACAGGAACTGAATGGCTTTCTAATTCACAAAGTGTTTAAGTCAAAGGCAGTGTACATCAGGCCATCAAGCATGCTTCAAAATACGGTAACCAATTTCAAACGATATGAAGCGATACTTATTTTTTTGTAATTTGTTTGTAGCACAGAGGTTTCTTGTTTTCCCAATGAACTTAACCCCTTATATTATGTTTTTTAATTATTTGTTCACATTTTTGTTTGTATGTTTTGTTTTAGTTGGACAGCTCAGATTCAGAGGATGGTATGATGGCAGACACACAATCCACATCCAGTGAACAGCACATTTCCACTCAGGCTACCCCTGACTGTGTGACAAGGGCTAGAGGAAACCAAATTGCATCAACACCACTGGTTTCTAGTTATCCTTTCACAAGAAGTGGCAGAGCAAACCGAGCCGGGGCAGAGCAGCAATCTTCAAGTGGAAGAATAACCACAGAGACCCAGCGCAGTGCAGTTGAGCTTGAATCCAGTGGCAGCATGGCCAGAGAGACCCAGCGCAGTGCAGTTGAGCTTGAATCCAGTGGCAGCATGGCCAGAGAGACCCAGCGCAGTGCAGTTGAGCTTGAATCCAGTGGCAGCATGGCCAGAGAGACCCAGCGCAGTGCGGTTGAGCTTGAATCCAGTGGCAGCATGGCCAGAGAGACCCAGCGCAGTGCAGTTGATGACTATACTACCTACCTCTCGATCATGGGTTCCATCTCTGACCATTCATCTGATGATGAGGAGTTAAACCAAGCGATTATGGCCAGTCTTCAGAGTAATATGTAAGTGAGTGGGTGATAAAAATAGTGCAGTAATTAAAGATAAACAGGAACAGGGTGAGCATGAAGTGAATCTGATAGGACTTTTTACAATATTGACTTCATATAGGCACATCAGCCACTAGCCATTTTCCACTTGTAAAATCCTTTAGGTTTGCAATGGGGGTTTTGTTGTTGAAAGGTATGCTCTTATCCCTATCCTAAAACATTTTTTTCTTTCTACAGGGAAATCGCAAACACCAAGTCTTCACAGGAAGTGCTCCTCGATCTTGCATCCAAAATTGACACAAACCAAAGATGCAGGTTTAACATAAATAGGTCAGCAGTTCTGGATGGTGCTGTTCGTGGCTTCAAACGAGTTTCCTACAATCCTGCATCCCAGATGTCCGTCAAGTTTTCCGATGACTTGGGAATAGATGAAGAGGCTGTGGACCTTGGTGGCCCAAGGAGAGAGTTTTTAAGACTCCTTATGGAAGCATTGGCACGGTCACCAATGTTTGAAGGAAGGGACAGCAAATTGAATTTGGCTCTACACAGTGCTGGTAAGTGTGATATATTTGGCCGATGTGTATTAATTTATTGGGACTCCTTATGATCACAGCCCTTTAGTCAAATATCTTTCCCATTCTTTTAATACTGTGTTTTTTCATAAATCAAATTTTTCTCCAGCTTTAAGAGAAGATCGGTATTTCATTGCTGGACAGGCCATTGCTGTTAGCCTTGTTCATGGGGGTCCTCCACCAGGATTCCTTGCACCAACACTGTATTCGTGTCTTGTTGGTGGGCACTCCTCAATTAAGCCTGACTTGGAGGACATTGTTGACGCTGACCTTTATGAAAAGGTTAAAAAGGTAAATGCATTGTAAATATATTGGAATATGCAAATCTTGACTATATTTTCATTCGATATGAATGCCACAGCTTGACCACAAAAATGAAAATAATAATAGAAACAATATTTGTTTACTGAAGCAATTTATTTGGTCACTTATATAGTTTAGTAAATAAGTTAAAAAGTATGCCATGATGTCAAAATAAATTTTCCTCAGTAATCTTGGGTGTCTAACATAAATGGATATAGCACTGAGTTATAATCAGCCAGTCAAATGTGTTCAGAATTTAAACCACTATTTTTTAGCGAAGCAGATATGTCACACAGACCCTGTCTGCCTCAAAATCCCCTGCAAATGCTATAGGCTCATTGGTCGTAACTGTGCCATTCTAGCTCATCTCAAAGTCTGCAATTGGCTGCGGAATAATTACGTTACTTTTGTTATAATTTTTCAGCATTATGCTGCAATCTTTATGTAAATCCACGTTAGCAGTACAAGATGTACTTAATAAGAGGATTTCTGATATTAACAATTTAATTTCTTTTGATGTCTTCCATATCTTACACCAGTCTAAACTCCTGAAAGAAATAATTGGTCTGCCTTCTATATACATGATTTTAAACTATTACTAAACTATTTTTAATGAAAAGTACAGGTTTAGGATCATTGTGTCACCAACAGAAAATATTTACTGCTCTGGTAAAACAGCAAGATATTTGTGGTGATATATCTGATTTCTTAGATTCATGCCTCTTTTGTAGTATTTGCTGTTGATAACAACTTAATCCGCAGTAAAGGCGCTTCTTCTGCCGTTGCAGTGGAGTCGAGCCAACCCTGAGCTGTTTGACTTGACCCATGCTTTGTGGTTCCTCCCCCGACTGCACTCGGCTACACTCGTCTACTTTCGATGCAAGCAGCAGCTCATCTCAAACTTTCTTTTTTGTTTTGTTTGTAGGTGTCAGATGTTCTTCTTTGAATGACCTCTCACCACAGAACCACTCCAAGATGTTCTTGCAAATGCAGGGTGTCTCAGGCCTTTGAAATCCATAGAAGACAGAGACCTGTTGGTCCAAGACATTACCATGTTCCAGGTGGTCCACAGAGTTGCAGGAGCATTTGAAAGGTTTGTGCAACACTATTGCCTATAAACCAAATTAGTGATATCATTTAGGTGCTAACAAAAAAGCTAAAGCTGACTATATTTTAAACCTTTTTTTCAAACAAAGATACAAGAAGAAAAATGTTTGAACGTGTATATTTTTATTGAAAAGAGATTGTTCCTTATAAAATAGGGCTGTGTAAGAATAAAATAAACACAATCAAATCAGTTCATGTGGTCAGAAACATATTACTCCCTGTAAATGAAGCTCTGAAGTATGTCTTTTTGAACAAATTACATTAATTCATTTTCCCAATTGTTTGGCAAGTCTGAGCATATTAATTAAAGATTGTCACAAACATCAAACTTTGTTTTTGCCCTCTTAGATTTCATACTGATCTCTGATGGACATTTTTTATTTTCGAGCTATTTTTCTGCAATGGTGATGGAATATATCTCTTTAGTTCTTTACTATTAGCTAACACAATTGTTCACACAAATTCTTCTCTTGACCCTCATTTGTATACTGTAGATTTAAGGAGGGGCTAAAGGTCCTTGGCGTTCTAGATGCAATTAAAATGCATCCAGAAAGTTTCCGGCCTTTGATGTGCCACGAACCATCGGCTCTCACTGCTGACGTAATGGACCATCTATTCCATATCCTGCTGTCTGAAGTGGGAAGCAACAAAAGAAGGACAGAGGAAGTTGTGGTACCCTTTTGGAGGGATTACCTGCAGGATGTGGAAGGTTAATACTGCTGCTAGATGTAGTACTGTCTCCAATGATGTTGATCACTTAGTGTGCAAAGACTTGCTACAACATTACATACTAATGCCACATTGACATTACTCTTTTCATTGTCTGCCTTTTTCCTTAATCTTGCTTTGATTCTATTTCCTTTTTCTTCCTTTCTTTCTGTCTTAAAATATCCTCTTACTTGTCACATGTTTGGTTTCTTTGTCTTTCATTCTTTACTAATAGATTTTTTCTGTATGGTATTTTGTACTTGCTGGTATGGTTTAAAATTGTAATTATTGTTTTGCTTGCTTTACTGTGTTTTAGATCAAGAGGGACCACCAAAGTTAGGGAAAATCCTTGCCTTTGCAACAGGTGCAAGTGTCATCCCTCCAGTTGGCTTCTCTCCTCAGCCATCAATTGATTTCCTGCATGGGCATCCCTCCAGCCCCAAACAGCGTCTGCCCATGGCGAACACTTGCATAAACTGCCTGAAGTTGCCGCTGCTTGAGACTTATGATGATTTTAAAGAGTGCATGGACTTTGCACTAGGTAACACACAGGGTTTTGGAAGAGAGTAATGGGAACATTATGTTCGTTCCATCTACCTCGTTCATGAGGTTTCAGCCAGGTTCTTGAAGCAATGTGAACAACAATTTTTGTTTTTAATTTTAGCGAAGTGCAAAAAAACATTATTCTTTAAAAGTCACTTTTATTATTTATCAACCATTGTACATTGCTTTATTAGTGCTGACTGAGTAACTGGGCACATCATTAAGGTATTATGGCCCAGTGGTGCAACAAATCACATAAATATATAACTTACTTTCAGTCTGTTTAAAAAACAAACAGTGCTTGTTTTGTTACTTTAAGTGTGAACCATTTCCAGTGTTTACTGTTCACTAAGAACATTCACCAGAACTAAAAAAAATGATATGCCGTGATTACCATCATCACTCAAAGGGTCAAATAGTTCTTCAATTCTGTTCATCATGGTTTGATTAACATTAAAGTCATTTACCGGAACCACAATGTTGTTGTCTGTCACTAATGGTAAGGGGATGTGTTCATTGACTCCAACTGTCTCATTTCCTTCAAAAATGTCATCAATTGCCAAGTTTCCAGCTCCAGCACTGTTTAGAACTCCTCTCTGCCACAGTTGGAGAGGAGTTTGTCCACCCATTGTAGATAATCCATGGTGGTTCCACTGATTTTGGAATTCAGCAGCTGACCTTTGAACTCTTGGCAGGTAGATGTAGTGAAGACAAAACAAATGGAGGTCATTCGTAGAATCCAATATGCCCTCATTTTCCATGAAGGTAAAAAGGTTACTAAAGTGGAACGAGACAACTCTGTTAAGCTCTGCCCACAGCCGTTCTATCCTCTGGTTATGGACACTGCGTCCCGTAATGACACTGCCTCTGTTTAATCCCCTTCTCTCTAGCATATACCTGGCAACCCCTGTGTTTTCCATGCCATGGTCACAGCGTACTCTTGAGGGAAGGCCAAAGTTGTGTACACCAGTACAAAACAGTCCCAGAACACTTGATGCCCTGTTGTTATTGAGGCATTGCAAATAAATGATGGTGCGACTAAAGCCGTCAACACATCCATGAAACACCATCCGCCATCTCACCAGTTTATGGTTTCCGTCTATATGCCTGTAGAGAGAAAAAACTTCAATATTTACACAAATAAAATTGCAACCATGATGAATATTGTTAATACAGAACCAGAATGTCCATCACATGGTTGCCCTTCTAGAAGTAAGGACTAGTCACCTTTTTTATTTCACAGCATGAACTCAGTTTGTGTTGTTTAAGACAAAAACACATGATAAAGGACATCCTTTATTGACTATATAAGTATTTATATTTTTAACGTAAAATAAAGTTCCAGTGGAGGAAGACTAGCAAAAAATAATAAGTGTATTTTAAAGTTTTACTTGCATTTTAGGCCTACTTGCAATAATGTCATGTGTTACTTTCTACCACTAGCAATATCTACTATATTACTTGTGCATTCATGGCACATAACTTAATTTAATGTCATGCAATACTCACCATAATTGATTGGGAGTTTGAACATTGTAAACTCTTCGACGAATTGCACGGCGGCGGCGAAAAGCCCGTCCAACCGGGTCAAGTTGTTGCACGCAGCGTCTCACACGCCAACGTTGTATTCTGATGTGCCGTGAACGAAGACTCCCTAAAACATACCTTTCCCCTGCATTAGGGGTAGTTTGAAGGATCTCGCGAACAGTGTTTGCCAGAACCTCATCAGACATTCCTGCATAGGTCAGTGGTCTAATTTCAAGCCGCTGTCTGTGTCTGTACAGTGTGCTCCTGTTGATTCCTAAGCAGAGTGCAGTTCTTTGCCAACTCATTCCAAGTGATAAACAGTGCATAATTTGCTCACGTTGTATATTGTACTGAGGGGGACCAGGATGGCCAGTTCTTGTTGTTGGAGGTACCCTTGAGTTAAGGCTAGTAATTTGTCTTTCATGCAATGATCTTGAGCCTTCATATGTGTTGGTAATTACACAAATACATACATACAGGGCCGCAAGGACGACTGAAGTTTCTTGACTATCAGTCCCTGCAAACTCCTGGCTAATTGATAGAAAAGTAAAAAATGTCCGTTGGTATCCAGCAAGTTCACTGAATAATCTGTCCAAAACCATGCTGTCAGGTCCCATGCTGTCACTTTCCCTCATAATGTTCTGAGCACACCGCACCGTTAGAGTGAAAAAAGTAGTAATGTCTTCCTCATTAACCTCCACGAAAATAAACTGTCCCTGAAGAAGAAGGTACATAAAAAGAAATATGGCTTTCTTCATACTGTTCAGACCTATAAAACAATCTTAAAAGTTCTTATTGCAGCTCAAATTTAGCGAGCAGAGCTCTGAGCAGCTTCAGGCTTCGTTTTCAAAGCTGTAAACCAGTCAAGGAATGAATATTTAAAATGGCTTCCTGTTGGATCAACCTGACTTCCTTTTAAAGTATACTCTCTCACACCCAGTACAATGTCCTCTCACACACATACACTATCATTCTCTCTCACACACACTACTATACCCTCATGCATACTACAATCCCTCTCTCACATACACTATCATCTCTCTCACAACACTACTATCACTATACCCTCATGCATACTACAATCCCTCTCTCACATACACTATCATTCTCTCTCACACACACTACTATACCCTCATGCATACTACAATTCCTCTCTCACATACACTATCATTCTCTCACACACACACTACTATACCCTCATACATACTACAATCCCTCTCTCACATACACTATCATTCTTTCTCACACACAACGTTTCCTGTCTTGCATACACTACTAGAGTATTATATTGTAGTATGATGTTGTCTGTAAGTGGGAATAATAGTGTTTCTAAGAAAGTACAGTTTGGTATGTAAGTAAGTTTGATTTATGGCCCAGACAAAAGTGTGTGAAAGAGAGTATGATTGTGCGTGTAAAAGTGTTTAGCAATATGTATACAAGAGTTTAATGGTGTATGTGTGAGATTCTGATATTGTTTGTAAGACCAAGTATGAGTTGTGAGCTAGACGGCCTCTCATACGCACGCGCACCACGGGCTTTACCCACATGTTGGTTACACTCCTCCTCCTCAGTGTGGATCTGAAGGGGGGAGCCAGGAAACACAGAGTGGAGCTGGCTGTGTCTGAGAGCAGGAAGGAGAGGGAGGGCTTATCAAACTCTGAGTCATTCCAGGAGGAGGAGCAGCGCTCAGACTCTGACCACAGAGCCTCGGTTACAACCTGCTCTTCATTTGGAAAGAGCTTTTAGTTGTAAAATAAGTTGGTAAACTTACAAAATCTGAAGGGGGTTAAATTCCACATGTGGACGCCTCCCCTCCCCCCCTCCAGAGTTCCTCACCCTTTCTCCACAGCAGCCCCCACCCTAAAGATCCCTCTAAGCACCGCTCTGACCGGGGTCCCTGTTTGCGTCACGTTCCAGTTCTACACCCCGAACCAGAACCAGAACCCAGCCGGCTAAGCAAAAATCCAGCATCAAGATTTTCGTTTAGCAAGCTAACTTCAGGGGTTTCCGGTCCTACGAAGCTGGTTCACTTTTTAGCGGGCTAGATCTCCATGGTAACTTATGCTGAGCGGCAAACCTGCTCCGGAGCAGGTTAGGTTGCAGGCTAAGAGATCAACTCAGTGAAAGCACCGCCTGCTGACCAATCAGAGCTCAGTGTGCGGAGTTTAAAGCGATCAAGTCTATTACAGGATAGAGGAAATACAGAAAAACTGCCGTTGCAGGAAAAGACGGCCGGCAAAAAATCACCTGACTGTGTGAACGTGAACATTAATAGAATATCCCCTCCTCCCATCTCAGAGCAATCTGACTATTATAACATTAGCGGTAAGAAAGCTTACTTAAATATCTGCCACGACATAAGTAACCGGATCAGAGTAACATTACGTACAGTCTGCGGCACTGTGAGTGCGACGTCGATGTGTCCCCATTATCATTCATATCATATCACATCATAATGTATCAATATATTCCTTATCTTGAGTCAGCTGAGCCGTATCTGGCCGTGCAACACTCACAGTGTCCACTACTGGATGCAGAAGTATTATTTTAAGCAACACATTAAGTTGACGAAACACTCGAGTCAAATGTAATTAAAGTCAGATCCACTCGTGTCTTAGACGGGGCAGTGATATCATAAACCTGTTAATGTACGCATTCAAACACTTTTCTCTGTTACCAGCTGTATTCACCTTGCAGGTGCAGCTATGTGGCTTTGATCCTGGATAAAGTGTTTAAGTCATGGATGTTTAAAGTTTAAAGTGGACCTATCATGCTATATTTGAATAATATAGTGTAGGACCATACCTATATAAGGCATATTTATACTTTTTTTTTTTCAAAATACCAAACAGATCATGCATTTAGCCTGCCTCATTTTGCTCAATTTGACATTTTTTAGATCTGTTTTAGCAAGGGCAGATTCAGTGAGAACAGCACCACCTAGAGGCCTGGCATATGTACTACAGCGTCTCCAGCGCTTTCGAACGGCAATGGCCGTGGCTGTCTCTCCTGATTGGTGGAGTTGGCCCAATAGCCGTAGCGCCACCGTCCTGACGTCAGGACAGTGTTCAAATCTGGATCAGTTTTTATCAGATCCGTTGCAGCCCCTTTTTTCGAGATTTGGGTATGGAGGAAAATAGAGAGGGTTGTGTTTTCTGACACTTGGTGAGTTCCCTGGAACACCGGGGACACATATTCATGTAGACAAGACGTACACAAGTGCATTTTGCATGATAGGTCCCCTTTAACTTCTTCATATTTGACTAATATTATAGTTGACTTTTCATTCAGGAAGTATGACGCTGCGCTGTCAGAACGCTTCTCCATGTTTGTGATTGGTCGAATGCTCCAGATACCACCCATTTTATGTGAACGCGCACCTAACTAGATAGGACACGGCTGGCTTGCGATCGAGTTGATAGCCAGCGTCGTAGGACAGTTTAGCAAGAGCGTTTTTTTTTTGGATTAAGTCAACCGGATAACTCAAAACATATCCAGGATATGTTGAACTAGATTCGTAGTATACCCCCATGGCCTCTGTAGCTGCTCCCAGTCCCTCCACACTCACAACAACTTCATACAGACATCAATAAAGCAGCTGTATTCGCCATACAGGAAACACACATTTAAAACGGTTTTGCCTGCCGTTTTTGTGTACACAAGCATTCATTTATGTAATACATGTATTTCTGTATTTGGATTTTATTTACATGTATATGAAACGGAACACATTTGTGTGTGCATTGACAAACACAAGTGTGGATCCGGAAATACAAGTGTGAATCCTTTTGCGGATCATGAAATACAAGTGTGACTCCTTCTGTGTGCATGTGTGTATTATGAGACTGTTCTGAGCCCATAAGATATGGCTCAAGAAGCTGACTCAGATAAGGAAATATATGATACATTATGATGTGATATGATGTGATATGAATGATAATGGGACACATC